CATCCAATTAGGGTTTTGACTAAAACCCTAGAAGCTCAAGTATATAAGGACCCCTAGGGCTAGCAAAATCAGCCACTTGATCCCTTGGAAGCTTGGAGTCGACTTTTGCCTCTCATCCTCTCTCCTATACATCATTCTCTTGCTCGTGGTGTTTGTGAGCCATTAGAGGTGTTACACTTGTGACACTAAGTTTATCGAAGATCAAAGGATTCTTGCAATCATTGAAAGGTATCATCTAAACTAGTTCATTATAGATTTCGATTTCTATGTATGCTAGATTAGGGTTTCAAGTCTTGGATGAATTGCATGTACAATAGAGAAGCCTAGATCCAAGCATTAAGGTTTTTGTATGAGCACATAGGATTGTTGTTTTGTATAAAACCCATCACTTATCCCAAAGGATTAGGGTATCCTCCTCAGCCTCCATCACTATCAAACCTTGGAAACCCTAACCTTAATCTCCTTTGGTGATTCTTAGCTCATTTTGGTGCTTTTGATGGCTTGAAGGATAAGAAGAGGGTGTTCTAGTGTGTTGATCCACCAAATAACTTCATCATAATTCTCTTGTGCATATTTTGAACCTTCGTAAGTCATCAAGTTTCCATCTTTGATGTTTTCCTCTTTAGATCTATGTTTTATGTCATGTTTTGGTCCCTTTGATGTGGTTTGTATGGTTCGAATAGATAAAGTTTGCAACTTTATGGTTTCTCTGAGTCCCTTGAGCATCATATCTCATATATCAAGGAATTGATGGTGGTTTGAAGACTGTGCATAAATTTTAGATCATAATTCATCTTTTGACCTATATTTGGGAAATGACATGCATGGGGTATGCATGTCCATAAATTTTGTATTTTTAGGGATCATTAGGGTCCCTAAAACCCTTCTAGAAGTTTTGGAGTGAAGAATTTAAGGATTAAGTGTTTTATAGGCGACTTCATGCCTTAAGTGCCATTAAGGACTTATGATTTGAGATATTGGCTTATCGGGATGTCTTAATGGATAAAGTTGGAAACTTTATCCATCAATACCTTGGGAAGAATCAAATATGGGATTTGGAGCTCATGGTATGGATGGAAAACAGCTTAATCCATTAAATTGTTGAGATTCGATCCCCACGACGTGACAACTGGGGATCGACTCGGCTTATTTGGCGTTTTGTGATCACGACGTGGTCACAAGGAGGTCACGACGTGGAGGCTTGTTGATGCTAATTAATGACCTTGGCTCGACCTTGATCATTGACTTTTGGTCTAATTTCTATTTTTAGAATGTAGACTTAGGTTTTACCTTTTGTGGTTTATTAGGAGGTGTTTAGCACCTATTCATTGGTTATGAGAGTTGTTAGATGTGGATTGCGTCGGTAAGGTGAGTCTTATCACTATACTATGTAGGATGCTAGTAGTCTATGTGATACTTGCATGGATGACCAAGTAGTGGCCCATGACATATGTATGAAAGATCATGTGGTGACACCTAGCAATTGTATGCAAAACCAGGGTCTGGCCCCGACAAATATATGTAGGATTCTTTGTGATGCTTGCATGGAAGACTAGGAGGTGGCTCTTGACAATTGTACGTAAGACCAGGATTTGGCTCCTAGTATGGCAAGAAAAGACCATGATTAGCTCAAATAAAACTTGCTAAAATACTTCTTTCCATCTGGACCAGTCTCTACATCAAGTTTCACAGTTGACCCTGGATTTGTCCTCAAAATCTCATGACCATATGACCACAGTTTACCATAATGTTCAACAAGACTACCTTCAATAAGGTTTAGTGCATACTTCTTTGCTCTCTTGCATTGCCCCATGCTAAATTGGATACCAAACTTGGTCATTACCTTAACCTTGAGTTTCCTTACACATAATTTCTGACCCTGTATAATTTCTTTGGTACAATGACTACCAATCCATGCATATGTCACCAATAATCCTAACTTGAAGTTCCTATAACAATTATGATCAACTTTTAGTGACTTGATTTGGAAACTCTCTTCACCACTCATCCAAGAAGCCCATAATCAAAATGTGCAAGCACCCTTACTACACCTCACCAAAAGTCTTTTTCTATCAAATTTTTTTTCAAAACACAGTTGATATCCATTAGCCACAGTATAGTTGCACAACATTGATTTTACGTGCCCTGGATCCTTAAATTATTGGATTAGTGTCTAAGTCCATAACTATAATTGGTATGTACTTGACTCGAGAGTAACATGGTCCATTTGGGTTTCATGGCACCGAAACAATCTGAAGGATGGATAATTGAGAAGAGGTTATTTATGGTTTATTAATATATTATAAGTTCTAATATATTAATATGAAATCATACTATTTAATTAGTATCGATCAAGAATTAATTTGGAATTAATTTTGTGATCAAAAGAGACTAATTAAATATATGCGGATTGATTGTGTAAATCATTCATTCTTATAAAGTGGGCTTATGATCCATAGTTATTTATGTTGGGCTAAACCCATGAGGTGACCCATGGATACTCCATGGAGGTTAAAACCCATGGAGCCTAAGGAATGTGGAAAGTCATGCACGTTAGGGTTTACATGGTGTAACCCTAGTTGTGTCACACTATATAAGAAGCCTCATAGCTACCAAAATCGACACCTAAGTGAAAGGAAAGAGGGCTAGCCGATTTTGAGTGCAAGTATACTTCTCTCAAGTTCCTCCATTGTTGGTGGCGTTGTGTGATTCCATTTGAGGTGCAACACTTGGGGCACTAAGTTCTTAAAGGTCCAAGGTCTCTAACTACAACAAAATGTATGACATCTAACTAGATTTTATAGTAAAGATACTCTATTGTATGCTAGTTAGGATGATGCTTTGGAAAAATAGAAGTTTGCATGTATATTAGAGAAAACACAGATCTAAGGCATCTAGGGTTGCATGTACACCATAGGAGTGTTAAAGTGCTCAAAACCCTTCATAAATCTCATTCCTAGAATTGATTTTTGTTTTTTCGAGTGTAATAGCTCATTAAAAATGGAATGAGTTTGGATGGTAGGTTCAAATTATCCCCCATCATCATCATTTACAATGTTGTTATCCTCCTCCTCATCAACACATAACTTACTCAAGAAAGGATCATTTGATGTCCTATTCATATGCACTACATCCTCATTAAATTCCAACTCAACATTCCTAAGTTCATATATGTTATTTTCATTTTCACCATTAATACAATACTCACGCCCATCATCATCATTATCTTCATCATCAAACCACCCATCAACACCAACCCCAATATGATCCACATAAACATAAACTATACCATCTATTCCATAAGCATCAAAAATAAAAGTAGCATATTCCACATCATCTGAAATGAGATTAAGCCTTTCCATCAGGGAAAGTCATGGTTAACAGTCGTACGAATTTTTACAATCTTCATGCATGAAACATTCGAAGAAGGTTAAACACTCAGAATAAGTCATAGAAGAAAGTCAACATCACTGAACATGGTTTTCACACCACCAGTGTAAGAGAAATGATTACGAGTAAATACCCCTTCATAGTTGAGTTCCACCATCACAAATAGTCCATTAGGTACCGATTGTGCCATTGCAGGGACTTCTTTGGTACTTCAGCTCGATCACAAAAACGCTTCAAAAACCCTAGATCAGTTTCGTTTATAGTGAAAAATGAAGAATGAAGGTCAACATGTGAAGATTATAGGTTTTAAGCATCATATATCATTTATTGACGTGACATCTCACGTGTCATCGGATTAGCCAAAAAATAAATATTAATTGACGCATATACAATGTCAACCGAGAAACAGTTTAAAATCGAGGAAAATGACTAAATTAACAGGTAAATCATGACTTTAATGGTCTAATGTGCAAAAAAAAAAAAACTTTAATGACCAAACTGAACAAATGCCATAACTTTAATGTGCTACAGTGACATTTTCTCATAAAATATTCATCTTGATAATGTTAAATATCAAACTCATTTGAACTTATTTTATACTAAATAAGAGAATTTTATCATTAACATAATTTATATAGTACTAATAAAGAAGATGACAGGTGAAAAATAAATTTTTTTAGATGAATTTACAAATAAGTTGGTAGATGTATATGTAAATAAATATAGTCAATTTAATTGTAATGTATTAAAAAAAATCACCTAGACTCACCACTTCGCAGATGGATATTGTTAGTACCATATGATATTTGCGAAAAGGTTATATGAATTTTGCATAGAACATATGTGATATAGACATGAATGTTAAAAAAAGGTAAACTTCTGGTGACTTCGTTTTTCTAAAAGACATCATCAATTTCATAGATGTCATTGCAAAATTGACAGACTATTTTTTTAAAATCTTTTAGCTTTCAGTTAAATCTTGAAACCCAAAACCCTAAATTCTGAAAAATAATAAATAAAAATTGCTTGATTTGTCTTCTCTAGTATTATCCTAATTACGTCACCATTGATGATCAAATAATATCATCTTTCAAAATAATTTGGTAATGTTTGGTTCATGCACGTGTCTACAAAAATAACGCTACATATTTTAGGAACACCAACAACGTCCTTTTTAATCTTATCTTATGCACTTGTTTCTAGTAATTTCGTTCTTTTAGTCTTATCTTTCTACTTTCTAGTATTTGTCATCTCCAATTCCAACTATTTCGTTTCTTTATTTTTAGGTAAGAAAGACGAATGGGTAAATAATGAGTTTTTTATATTCAAATATGTTAAAGCCCAAATTTAATAGGAATCTTCCATCATAATGTGGAAATGAGGTGGGGTTGGGTTAAAGGACATGAATATGCCACGTACTTGAATGAAAAACAAAGCAAAAGGTGTAAATAAGTGTGGGTTGTAGATCGATGGTTCAGTTTAGGGCTTCAAAAGAAGCTGCTTCTACATCATCATCATATCTGGTCTTTTTTAATTAATTTCTGTAAATATTATTTTTATTATTATATTTCTTTCATATCTGAAACATGTTGATTTACAAACAAGTCAAATGAATGGCCACCGGTTTTCAGGGGGAGATTCTATTTCTATTTCTATTTCTTTTTCTTTCTCTTCCACTGTGTCAAACCAAACCAAACAGATTATACACACCAACACTTCACTTTCTTTCCAACAAACGATTTGATTTTTGTGGTTCTCCTTTACAGAACCTCTCAAGCTCCTTCTATGGATGTCGTCCCTCGTCACTGGTACTTCCACTCTACTAATACCATACTTCTTTTTATCTATTACCATGCTTTCTGAAATTAGGCACATAGAAAGGGCTTGCTAAGAATTGGAGTATAATTTCAAAGTTGGAAGATGGTTTTTGGATCTGAAATGTTCTGATTCACGATGGGGTTACTGGAAGTGACGACATGTTGTATAACCGAAAGGATTTTGATTGATTTTTACGGAGCAATAGGCGGGTGACATGGATACTTCATCTGAGTCTGGTTCGCAGACGCAGAGATCAATTCCGTCCATCATTCCCCGGTTCTCCGGCGATACTGATCATGATCCCACGGATATTAGCTTGAGACAGTGGTTAGACAACAGAGAAAGATCCATTGACGCCCTTGAAAACATGCATATATTTATGCAGATAGTAAAAATTGTGAGCCTCGCACATTCCCAAGGGCTTATAGTTCATAACATTCGACCTTCCTGCTTTGTCATGTCATCATTTTCTCATGTATCGTTTATCGAATCTGCTTCCTGCTCCGATTCAAGTTCAGATTCTGACCAGGATGTATCAAGCAGCCAAACCGATTCTTACAAGAACTTGCCAAATGATTTCCGTAACACGTCAGAAAACAAACAAGTTATTGTTAAACAAGAAGAAGAAGAAGTAGAAGAAACGAAACATGTGTTTCCCATGAAACAGATTTTACATATGGAAATGAAGTGGTATACTTCGCCGGAGGAGGCTGCCGGAGGTCCAACTTCTTGTTCTTCTGATGTTTATCGACTTGGGGTTCTTCTTTTTGAGGTATGTACGTCTTATGAGTTGGCCTTCAAGTTTACACTATGGGTTATCTTATTCTATAACCCACGTTGGGTTTATTTCCATGAACAGTTATATTGCCCTTGTAGTTCACCAGAAGAAAAGAACGCAACCATGTCTACCCTCAAACACCGCCTCTTTCCTCCACAGTTTCACTGCAAGTGGCCAAAAGAAGCCTTCTTTTCCATGCGCTTACTGCACCCTGATCCAGCTAGCAGGCCAAAAATACAGTCAGTTCCCTATTGATTTTTCATAGTGTTATTGAATCTTTATTCATGGTTATTAAATTGTTATTCATTTCACTATCTTTCAGTGAAGTGTTACAAAGTGAGTTTCTTAGTGAACCTAAAGAAAAGTTGGATGAAAGAGAAGCTGCAATAGAGCTTGAAGAAAAGATAGTGGAGCAGGATATGTTGCTGGAATTTCTTTTAGAGATTCAACAGAGAAAGCAGGAAGCTTTAGATTACTTGCATAGAGATGTTACATTTCTGTCTTCTGATTTGCAAGAAGTTACAAATTCTCAAACATCAATTAGAAAAAAAGGAGGGTCTCATTCGGTTTTTGGGGTTTCGCCTTCTGAAAATGACAATTCCAGAAAACGCATAAGAACACAAGAAAATCAAGAAAATGGCATCCCCAAATGTTCAAGATTGATGAAAAACTTCAAGAAACTAGAATCGGCCTACTTTTCAACTCGACATAAAACATCCAAACCAAATAGCAATCCGTTCTTGGAGGGACTTTCAAAGTACATGTCATACAATAATTTAGAAGTGAAGGCAGAGTTGAAACAGAGTGATCTTTTAAATTCTTCAAACCTTGTATGCTCATTGGGATTTGATCGTGATGGGGAGTTTTTTGCAACAGCGGGTGTAAATAAGAAAATCAAAGTTTTTGAATACGATTCAATCTTGAATGAGAATCGAGACATTCACTTCCCTATTGTTGAAATCCCAACTAGATCAAAACTAAGCAGTATTTGCTGGAATCGATACATCAAAAGCCAGATTGCATCAAGTAATTTTGAAGGTCTTGTGCAGGTAATTAATTATAATCCAAATCATGTCTTTTACAGTATATAATTTGATATAATCATCAGCTTTTTAATTCGAAAAATATCAGATTTGGGATGTCACTCAAAATCAAGTATCCGCAGAAATGAGAGAGCACGCAAGACGTGTCTGGTCTGTTGACTTCTCAGTGGACCCCACATTGCTCGCGAGTGGGAGTGATGATGGCTCTGTTAAGCTTTGGAACATTAATCAGGTAATACTGTCTACTGTCTGGTTTGTGTCTGGACACTTGATAAGTTGTTTTTGTTATTGGTGCTTCAGGGAGGGAGTATTGGTACGATTAAAACGAAGGCGAATGTGTGTTGTGTTAAGTTTCCATGTGATTCTAGTAATTTTGTTGCATTTGGGTCAGCAGATCATAGAGTATATTACTATGATCTACGAAATTTGAGCATACCACTTTGCACATTGTTTGGACACAAAAAAACCGTTAGTTACATCAAGTTTGTAGATTCAAAAACTCTTGTATCATCGTCTACTGATAACACAATGAAGCTTTGGGATTTGTCAGACTGCACATCTCGAGTTCTTGATCGCCCACTTCAGTCATTCACTGGCCATGTCAACATGAAGGTATCACTTAATTCCATCATGGTTTTAAGTTTTAAGTTGATCCGGAGTTATTTGATTATATAAATTCATAAATATTTTTGTGTGTGTGTGTGTGTGTTTTGCAGAATTTTGTTGGTTTATCTGTATCGGATGGCTACATTGCTACCGGTTCAGAAACAAACGAGGTACTTCCCAGATGGACTGAACAAACTTTTTTTATTTTTATTTTTTATGATACGGATGAGGAGGACATTTACGCCTTTTACAGATTCCCAACTTTTTATGTTAGACAAAAAGTTGTAATCTGTCACATTGACTGACTGACAGACATGATGTCAGGGTAAGGTCAAATGCAGCACAACTTGTTATGTCATGTCATGTTGATGTGTTGTTTGTTGACATGTGAACAGGTATTCATCTACCACAAGGCTTTCCCTATGCCTGCATTGTCGTATAAATTCAAGGCCACAGATCCAATATCGGGAAATGAAGTGGATAGCAACGAACAATTCATTTCATCTGTTTGTTGGCGAAATCAGTCCTCCACTTTAGTTGCTGCAAATTCTATGGGAAATATCAAAATCTTGGAGATGGTTTAGTTTTCAAATTATACAAGTTTTAGGATTAGGTTATATGCAGATCTTTGTGTATAAAACTCAGTAGAGAGGTAAAAACACGGGGGAAATCATATTCAATGTATATAATTTGTATACAACATTTTGTTTGGAAAAATTATTCTCTTAGATATAGAATGCTTAAAGAAACACTCATATATAGTTTATCGGATTAAGTAGTTCATTAGTCATGGCTTTCTTTACTTAACCACTCTTTTCTCCATTAAGCCAAAAAAAAAAAAAAAAAAAAAAACCCTATATACTTGTATAATTTATTAGATTAATTTATGAAACAATGCCTTAAGATATCTCAATGTGGGGGTTTAACCAGGATTTGAAGGAAAGATGATAGATACGACGTTCAATGGTTGGCCAATTACATTTTCTATAAAACAACACTTAATTTTTTTAAAAATAGTTTTGATAAATCAATAAGAATAATCTAAAATTAAATTAAACAAAAAATTCAACCCTGTTTATTTTTGTTTTATGTAGTGTTTTTTACTTTTTTATTTATTAAAAAAGTAATAACTAGTATAACTAGTTTTATTAATAAACAATTAAAAAACTAATTAATAGAAAATTACATAACAATCTTCATAAAATGAGTATTTATTTATGTAATTTGTAGTTTAGGTGATAGTTAGGCTATCATAATATTTAATTATTGTATTTTGTAGGTATTGTACCTTCAAAATTATTTATACAATTCATAGCATTTTAAACTTGCAATCCAATAAACTTTATAGAATTGAATGTATCACAAAGAATGTATGATAAACTTATATAAAAGAATGTTGGTGTAACTTTAAAAAGTTGAATTGTGGTAATGGAAACTCAAAATAAATAACAAAAAAACGTCGCATATTCAATCAAATTTAATCCTTTGATGGACAACAAAAATGCTATAGCATATGGCATATAGTAAAGTAGTAAACACTAATTCCCAATCTACATAAACAACATATCATCTATCGACATTGACTTTCATTAAACTTAGGTTGTTCAAGTAACTTGCGTATAAGTTGACTCAACCTTTGACCACCTAGACCCGGTTTAATCCGTGTTGGTTTCCCCACCTTACTGCATTTAGGGTCACCCTTACACCACCCACCAGGTGTGAAACTCCCATTCTTCCGGTGTAACAACATCTTATCAATTCTATCCAAAACAAGACTATTTTCCTTAAACTTACGCCCAAATGCGGCCCCACTTGCTATCATTTTGGTCGTGTCATTTAAGGTGAGTACATGAGGATGCTGTTTTGGAGGAGTGTCCCATGAAATATAATGCATATCATGGTTTACTACTGTTGGAATGAATTCCGGGGAATTGCAGATTACTGTTTGGAAGTAACCTTCCGGAGACGACACAAAATTCGTGTAGTACATTAGTAAAGTTCTTGGTAGATTGTCCCATCCCCATATGCAATATTCCACAAATGATCGCGATAGAATCATCCATGCCGATCCTAAAACAGTACCAGTATCAATATCAGTATCATTACCAGTACCAGTACCAGTACCAGTATGTTACATAATACATACCTGTAAATAATTTAAAAGTTGTTGGGAGAGCCCTTCTCGGTTGCACCCAAAAGATATCAGACTTTGTGTTCTGGTATAGTCCGGGGTCCACCATCAACGGCATTGCCCTTTTGTTCCTGCATAAAAACTTATAAATGTAATAACGGGTCCCACATGGATAGTGTGTAACTTTGGGTTAATATACAGTTTATGCTTACTCTTTCCACCCTAAATGGCTTGTGTGCTCGATGAAATTGAGGTCGCGTTTAAGATCACGAAATGCAAAAATAAGATCTGCAATGCAATTAAGTTGAAGAAAATGAAACCGATGAAATTGATGTAGAATTAAGATATGGGAAATGAAGAACAAACCATCTTGAGTTACGAGAGGGTAATCGGAGGCACTGAGGTTTATAAACCAATCCCAGTCTTTATTCTTTTTAAGAAGAATGGCACATGCGTGAAGTGTGTTTGACACCATTGTTGGACCTCTGTATGTAACCATGTTAGCTTTTGAGATTATGTAAACGTTCCCGATTGCAGTAAAAACCGGATCGTTTTCGACCCGTGAAGCGAGTTCGATTCTTTCTTCGGGTGGGGATTCGAGATCAAGATGGAGAATGTAATAGTTCCATGGATGATACAGTGCTTGAAGTGTTCTCCATAGCTTGTTTAAATCCCCTTTTGATCCGGATACCAAATAAGCAAAACGAGGAAGAGGTGGAGGAGATGGAGGTGGGGATTGGATGTTTTCTCCAGAAAAATTCATGGTGGTTTTATTTGCAGAGATGCGAGGATTGAATGACGGAAAAATTGTTTTGTATGAGGAAGATACAGTGCCAAGATTGAAACATGTCGCGAAGAGGAAAAGAGATACGATTGAAGCCATGGCTATGGGGAACGCCCATCGTTTTTCAAAGTGAAGAGATTTTATCTCCTTAAGTCTGATCATCGTTGCTCGAATCCTGTAATTTCTGCTCATTTACATCATTTTTCTTCACGAATTTGTAACCGAATTAGTCCCACAAGATGTTCAAATACAAACCAACGCCTGATTTAATCGGATTCTCAGAAGTCAAATCTGCAGCGGTTAACATCAAGAACACTAAATTCGATTTTTCTGAATTTGTTTAATAATAGAATGATATTATGCAAGATGATTAAATCGATAAGAACAATAAAGAATTGTACTAATAAGATCAGACAAAGCAGATAGCAACAAAAATGGAATAACGTAAACACGGGAAACACGTTATAAATCGATAAATCGAGCTCAATTTACACATTAATTCTCAATCACGTAACGAAAAACTTAAAACCCCAAACCATTGAACAGTGTAGTCAACGGCTCAACGCATACTCGTCATTGTTCATGGAAATCAACACGAAAACCTAGTGAAAAACTGTATGCATATCGAGATTAACATAGACCACTCATTTCTGATCCTAAAAACTGTTTTGATTTTGTAACCAAAATCGGAGCTCAAAAATGCCACACCGATTCAATAAAAAACACTTAAGTCGAAACTTACTAAGTTCATCAAAAATTTAAAGGAAGATTTACCTGGTTGGGGTTTCAATCTGTCGGTGGAGACAATATTGTGCGCAAAAGTAATAACAGTGAAGAACAGACGGGGGTTTATGGATTGTGGGAGAGAGAAGATGAAGAAGACGCGGGGTGTTTGTCTGATTTGATTTTGTTGGATTAGTTTTTCTATATTTTGGGAAATTCCTTTCAGATTACGAATAGTTTTCTCTGCAATTCTGTGATTTTAGTGTTTGCTACTGCTGCTATATGAATAATGAATAATGAATTGCTAGGATCGACACGACATCATCGAGTTTTGTAAAATTTAAGGACCGAGTTACATCACAATCTTTTACAATTAATAACGGTCAACTTAATTTTAATTTCAATTAAATGTCCGTCACTTATAAAAATGTTTCTAGTTTTCACATTATTATGGCAATTTTTGAGTATTTTCTGAAAGCAAAATTTATGAAACAGTCAAGAATCTAAATAACTTTTTTATGTTTTTACTATATCAGTATCTTTTATTTTAATTTTTATATGTCATCTCAATTTATATATATATTTTAACTTTTAATTATAAAAGACTATTAATCTCTCACCACATGGTCTTTATCGGCTCGATTATTTTAATAGCTTTATCTTTGCTACAACCTATATTCTAAATTCCTACAATCATAACATCCATATTTTGTTAATTGATGGAAGAGCGGATAGTTTAGGATATTTACTAAAATGTAATTTTTCTAAATCTTATTTAACATCTTGTTTAAAAAAAATAATAAAAATAATAATTAACTTTAAACATGGCCAATTCTGAATTAACATTAAACTAGATAAAATTATATAATTATTCTTATGGTATGCTGAATATCGTTTTTTTTGTCCATGAGTTTCATTTTCTTATATGGTTTCATTAATCCATTTAAGATTATTTTTTTCTTCTTTTTAATTTATTATAGATTTTTCTCAAATTGTTTATTTCACAAATTCTTATGGATATAAAAGTGGTCAATGTTTAAGGTTTTATTTTAGGATTTTATAATTGGAATCTTTATTTAAACTTGATAATTTTTTTTTACTTAGTTTCAAGGTAAGTTTGAAACCCTTTGAATAATTTTAAAAAGTATTTCAGAACTCGTATATAATTTTACAACTTAACTTTTTTAGTCGTATTTCACACTAAAAATGATTAAAGATGAACTGCATGTTACACCTTATGGGCTTCATGTTAAATTGTTAACTGATAGGAGGGTTAACAACTCGATTAATCCTTGAATATGAATTACATGACACTTATGATTGCGGCGCCTAAGCTACCTACCAACTAAGAAAAAAGTGGCATGCACCATTGCACCTGGAAGCTCGTGGAAGAGATATGGAACAACTTAACCATTCGTATTAGTAAAAGGAAATAAATAAAGGAATAAAATAAACATCCAAATAATCCATTGAGCTGCAATGATAAAACAACAATGTTGATTCGAGTTACTTCTTCGATGGATGTTAGACTAAGGATTTAAGAACCAAAAATCAAAAATATCCAAAAACAATGAAATTTACTTATTTGTTTGTTCGATGACAATTCATGTAAAAATATATTAAAGACTAGTCTTTCATGCAAATTGTCATTATATAAGAAGTAATATCTATCCATTGATTGTTGAATATTACAATTTTGTTGTACTCTTTGGCAATGAGAGAATAATTTCTTTGTTATGATAAAAGATTAAAAGTGACAAGTAATTTATTTTTGGTGATAACTCATAATAATAAAAAGCTATAGTTTTATGACTTTATAAATATATTATACTTGTTTAAAGGCTAAATTTCATAAAATTCATTATAGTTCGATTTTTTATTTGTTTAACCATTATTTTTTTTAGTTTAACAGAGTTCTTTTTTTCAAAAAGAAAACACTCTAGATCTTTTCCATTAATTAGCTGCAATAAAACAAATGGAAGGTTGTTTTTTTTGTTAAATCATTAAAGAGCTGCATTAAAACAAATGGAAAATTGTTTTTTTAGTTAAATATGATTTTTTTTATAAAAAAATAAAAAATTATCCGAATGGTTAAACCCAATAAATTCCAAATATAAAGACTTCTATAAAATTTAAAGTTTTATACAATTTCTAAAACAAAAACAAACTCTTATTGATTAAAACAAACAAAAAAATCAATTGGTCAACCAAAAAGAAACAAAAACAAAATACAGTATGAAATTTGATGGGTTTTAGTGGACAATTTTTTTTTGTTTTTGGAATGTATCATTATGTATGGACTAAAAACCAACGTCGACTTGATGAAGAAGTAAATTACGGCCTTGCCCTTCTCGAGTCTTGCTCCAATTGGTACGGGGTCAAATATGTCTTGCAAATCTTGTAGTCTTGTACGCCAAAACGGGGGGAAATGGTAATGACCACCAAACGGTTATAATACTTCTAGTATGTTTTTAATTTATTAATTATCTTAAATTTTAAGTTTTTACTTTTATTATTTTATTTAAGTATTTTCCATTTGGCATTTACATTATTATTTTAAAATTAGATGCCTATTTACTTCTTTTCTGTTTTAAGACAATTTATTCCAAACTCAAATCAAACATAAAAGTGGGTAGAAATCATAAATAGAGTTGAAAACCATAAACGGTAATTAAATTTTCAAAGTAAAATTTTGGTTTCTCAATCTTTAACAATCTATGTGTATTATAAATAGATGATTTTTGGATCAAGACTCGAGAAGGGCAATGCCGTAATTTACTTCTTCATCAAGTCGACGTTGGTTTTTAGTCTATACATTAAAACCCATCAAATTTCATACTGTATTTTGTTTTTGTTTTTTTTGGTATATATATATATATATATATATATATATATATATATATATATATATATATATATATATATATATATATATATATAGGTTTAGGTTCTATGGAAAACAAAGAATCCTAAAAAAAACCTTAAAAAGCAAAAAAAATGCCTAAAAAAAATACTTATAGATCACAAAACTTTTTCTTTTAAATTTTTTTATGAAAAAATCGCAGCTTTTAGTATAAAATCGCTGAAATTTTTTTTGAAAAAAAAAACCAAATTTTTTTATAAAAAAAATTGATTTTTTTTCAGCGAATTTATACTAAAAGCTACGATTTTCTATAAAAAAAATTTTAAAAAAAGTTTTGTGATCTCTAAGTATTTTTTTATGCATTTTTAGGGTTTTTTTAGAGTTTTTTTGTTTTCCAAATAACCCTTCCCTATATATATATATATATATATATATATATATATATATATATATATATATATATATATATATATATATATATATAATCATTAAGAGTTTATTTTTATATTAGAAATAAACTATTGTATAAAACTTTGAATGTTATAGAAGTCTTTGTAATTTGGAATTTGTTTGGTTTAACCATCGGAATAAAATTTTATTGTTGATTGAAAAAAATAAAATAAATAGATAATTATAAAATATAAATATATTTTTTAATCATCTGACAGACTCATAGTTCGATTTAAATCATTTAATCGTCTATTTATCAAGATCTGAATTTGTTTGTATTTTGATTGAATACTGTGAGAATTTAGAATATGTATACATTTAAAAAAAAATACATAGCATGTTGTTATATGAATTACACTAAAACTACTAGGTGTGGGCAACATGTTATTACATGTTACCACACCCAAAAGGTGTCATGTCAACATCCTACTCATACATGTGTGTTATAACACCCAAGGTGGAAATGGACAACATCTAATAACATGTGATAACACCAATAAAAAACTTGATTTTTTTATGTTAACAATTTAACAAACGGTTGAAATTATGGTGGTTGAACAAAACACAAGCAAAATCGCGACGTTACCTCCCGTGTTCACCATAACGCGTCATAACATAACACCTAATAACGGCTAGGGGGCGGTGTTCCTCCCGTTATGACGCCGTTATTAGATGTCATGTCATCTATAACGGAGCTTCCCGTTGCCCACACCCGTCTGTCTTAATAAATTAATCAGATTAGGGGTACAACTAAATAATGCGGTGCGGTGGGTTAATGTCCACTGCGGCTTTACGAACAATTACGTGATCAGTGACCCAATCCGTATTGACTTTCAGCCGTACGATTTTGGTAATAAGTAAATGAATATCTGCTTGGCCGATCACCAACCAACGATATTTAGTTGGCTTCACCATTATTCCGTGGACCCCACCGCCTAATGCGTTTTCTCCACAAAACTATTTATGTGCTACTCCTCCATCACTTAATATCTATTATGCAGACATAAATAAATGCGAAAATTAAATGTGCGTTGGATGCACGTCTTTTTCATTACATTTTTAGATTTTTTTTCTGCATTTTAAATTTTAAATATTTGGTATGTTTGGAAAGATTTCAGTTTAGAGTTATTTTTCTGTCAACTATAAAAAAGATTTGTTTATATATATAGACAGCGAAGCATGTTCGATTTACTTGTTTAGTTGTGAAACATCTGCTAATTACAGGTTAGGCGGTAAGTGAATTGTTTGCGAATTATTTGGCGGAATGTTTATCTATTTCTAAATGTAAATATAGTATAATTTTTCTTTTCCGTTTAATTAGTTAAATGAACGAATGTTCACTAGTTAAATGAACACATATTCATAATGGTCTCATTCTTTTTTTACGTTTGTGAAGGTTCATTTATATTCGTTTGGAAACATTCCTTTATGTTAAGTTAAGTTTGTCTATAACGATCATTAAGGTAAAATCATTGAATTTAATTGTTACTTGTCATTCTTTATGTTGTAATTATGATCAAAGTAGTTTCTAATGGTCTCACAGTGGATGATGTTGTATGGCGATGTAGTTGAAGCTAAATGGTGTAGCTTTTTGGATATTAAGAAGCTAAATGGCGATGTTTTTCGAGTTAGCATTTTGGGGATACTATTTTAATAAATATGATGATATAGACTCTATTTTTGAATTATTTATGGATTTTTATATTGTAGGATTTGTGTATAATCGATTCTTATTAACATACAGTTTTTGATTTGGACACTTATGTTTATTTATGTTTATATATCCTTATTTATGCTTATTTTTGTTTGTTTATGCTCGCTTATATTCGATTAACATTAACGAACGTAAACAAATGCACACATAAGATAACTTGTTAAATGAACAAACATTAACAAGAAAATTCATTTATTTATGTTTGAACAAATTACTGAAATAGTCCCTGTGGTTTGGCTAAAGTTGCGCGTTTGGTCCCTATGTTTTGTTTTGCACTCGGACCATCCCCACGTTTTCTTTTTATTACCCGCCTGGTCCCTGGGTCCGTTAGTCGTCAATTCCAAACGTTAAGTCCCTCACGTGCTTCGCACATGAGGGGTATTTTCGTCATTTTATATAAAAAATCTATTAGAACACCCCTAAACCCTGATTCTCTCTATTTTTCGAATACGTCCTTTCTTTTTCTCCTTCATTTCGTCTTCTTTGAAGTGTCGATCAACCCTAATGGAAAAAACCTGCAAGTGTGGTGAAGTTGGTGTGATACGAAGATCGACTACCAAGAAAAACCCTGGAAGACTTTTCTATTGTTATACTGGAAAGGTAAGGACAATTTCTTCTTAAGTATATCTATATATCACATACCTTTAACACACACCAAATTACTCAAAATGCAGGGAGCAAAATGTGGTTTCATAGATTGGGTTGATGAGGACAACTTTAATGGTGAAAAAACTGAAAAAAGTATCTCCCCTGATTTGCAGAAGTCATTGGATGAGCTTCAACATGAGAATAGGGCCTTGAGGCTGTTATTAGTGTTCAGTTGGGTTTTTTTTTGTGTCAATTTTAATTTACAAGCTTTAATTTATGCTATCAATGTACTTATCTTTTGTTTCATCAAGGCAATTTTCTAATGGGATGGAATTTAGTGGTTTGTAATGGAATGGAATTGAATTGACTGTTTTATAATGGAATGGAATTGAGTGGTTTGTAATGGAATGGAATTGAGTGGTTTGTAATGGAATGCAATTGACTGTTTTATAATGGAATGGAATTGAGTGGTTTGTAATGGAATGCAATTAACTGGTTTTCTATTGAAATGGAATTGAATTGAATGATTGAATAGAATTGAATGGTATTGAATTAGAATGGAATGAATTGAATAGAATTGGATAAAATGGAATTGAATTAAAACAAAAACATAGCAACAGATTATAGCACTAA